TCTAAGTGCTGTGATATTCATTTTATGTTTTGAATCTTTATTATATTTAGCAGCAGAAACTTGTATTAATTTTCTTTATAAAAGAACTGTGATTTTTTTTTTAATTCTTCAATTAACTGCCTTGCATATTCAAACACACCCTTAATATAGTAATGGCTGATGCAACTTTGAAGATGAAATTCATTCCTTGACATTTTTTTTCACATCGAAAGGGACTTTAAAAAAGATTTTTAGGGAGATAGGTAATTTTGGATCAGCTCATGATATTTTAATGTTAAATGTCTTTGCATAACATTTTTGTAAATTAACAGACAGATTTTTTTCCAATATTCTTGGAATATGAGCTCATGATTCAATGGCTATTAACGGCTTTTTATTTGACAATGAGAACATTTAATTTCTTATGTTCATACTCTTTGAGGTAATATGTAATTACCAATGAAAAGAAAATAAAAAAACTTGTAGAACACAGTTGTAAGATCTTGAATGGATATCTGTTGATTTTGTTTGTGTATAAATTTTCATTATGGAAAGTACAAAAGCCAGTAACTCAATTGTTGTAATTTTTTGTTTGTTTACATTTAATCAGACCGAAAATTTTCTTTCAAATCTAAGTGGCTTTGTTTTATGAACTGTTTATGCTTGTAAACAATGATCATGACACTTTCTAAGCCATTTTCAAAGGGAGGTAATCATATTATTAAGGGAGTTAATCTTACAAACAATCAGTCTTTTATCATATTTAGGCTATATCGCTTTGTATAAAATTAATATATGTGTCAATTCTATTGTTCATATGCTAAGTTGCAATTTTTTTATAATATTATTGTTTTATTTCTACAAATAGAATATATATGATTATTGTTAAAATGGAGACATCTTTCATGAACTTTATAAATAAAACTAAAAAAATAAATGTTTATTTTAGCAGCCATAAACTTCCTTTATTGTATCGTGTTATGCTCATATAGAGTGTAGAAGGTTGTTGGTTCTATCCATGGCTGGATCAAACCAACTCCAATAAACTTGGTTTCTGCTGCTTCTCCAAGAAACATGCAGCATTTAACAGTAGTAGAGCAAAGACTGATAAGGCAAAAATCAGAATTAATGTGTCTGTTGGGGTTGTGGGAAGCAGTTTGTTCTAACCATGGCTTGATTATATAACTTTAACAAACTTGGTATCTGTTGCTTCTCTGCAAAGCAAATCTTTTAGCAGTAACAGAAAAAACTGATAAACCAATGGAGTCTGAAAATAAATTTATCTGTTGAGGGGGACCATGTCTTCCTGAGGACTTTGGGTTTGTGAGCTAGAACATTTAACATCTGATTCAGTATGTTAGTCTAGTACAAAGCAGAGTTTATTTATCAAACATTGCATGTTTCTGTGCTATATATGCATACAATATTCGCAGCATGACATTTAGTACCCATCAATCAATTAAGCAGCCTTAAAAAAAAGTAGAATAACAAAAATACCGAACTCCAAGGAAAATTCAAAACGTCAAACGAATGGAAAACAACTGTCATATTCCTGACTTGATACAGGCATTTCCTTATGTAGAAAACCTGGTTTTATAGGTAGCTAAACCTCTTACTTGTATGACATTCACAAAAAATTCCATTATGTTGACAACAATTATTTAAGTTACTTCATCTGAAAAAATTAAAACACAAACTACAATGTATTTGTGGTTAAAATAAAATTTGCATATTATCTAATTCTTTGTAGGGGCCTCGGTGGCCGAGTGGTCCAAGTAGTTACTACTGTAATCACTAGCCAGTAAACACTGAGGTTGTGAGTTCGAACCCCGCTCGTGCGGGTCCACTCGACTCCAATCTTAATTGACTAGGATTGTCAGTTTTCCTATCGAAGGTCGGTGGTTTTCTCTGGGTACTCCGGCTTCCTCCACCAATAAAAACTGACCGCCACGAAATAGCCCAAAAGCGGTGCTTAAAAGTGGCGTCAAAACACCAAAAATCAAATCAAAATCAAATCTAATTCTTTGTTTATATACATAATGGTTTGGAGGCCTGCACAGGGAAGAAATATATTAATCATTCTGTCTATATTGAATACCTATCTGTCCAGCATGTATTTATTATCCATAAACTTTATCTTGTTATTCTGGCTAATGTGTACATGTTGGATGATAATATTGGGTCACTTTGACCTATATTTTATGCATGAATAACTGGTTGTTTTATTTAATGGTTCAGATCTAAGCTGACAGTGAAGTTACAAGTCGTAGAGATATAGTGACTCTTAACCATATCAATCATACTTTAAACAACTTCAAAATATTAGATGTTGTATTGAAAAACCAACTTTTAACCACATGCTCATCTGTAAATATTTCCTCAGAAATATGTCAATCCTGGTATAATCTACCTAAATTCATTGATATCATACTTGTTTTTTTAATTCAGTTTTTCAGTCAACCAAATTCTAGTCTACCTTATCTGGAACATATTTCTTGTTTATGTGATGTCTTTATCAAGCAGCCATGATATAAGAATTTATCTTTTTCAATCCATTCATATTGATCTTGGTCATCTTGTCCAGGTCCATCAAGGATGTGTTAGTATTATGCTGCTTTTGTACAGTACAGTGCACAAGCACTTGTTTCTATCCATGGGAAGATCAAAAATATACGTTGATAGTGGATCTTCCCATGAATAGAAACAAGTGCCATTGGTACAGTGGTATTATGCAAAAATAGGTCACCATGACTTACATTTCATGCTTGAGTACCAATGGTTGAGCCGTGAGGTTTAGGGCAATTGTTTATTAACTTTCAGTAAATTCAATGGTATGACACTTATACAGTTTTGTGTTAAGGTTGATTCTGAGAAACCATGGGTATTATATCATTGATATGGACCGACTACTAAGTTATCTTGTTTCAACAACATTGGGTTGCTATATGATGTAAAATTCATAACTAGGCAACTTGATTAGGGGAATACAGTTTTTCATTTGAACCAAGTAAATGGCATTTGATGCAGATCTAATTTTATGAAAAAATATTCATTTGTAGTTAATCCAGTGCTTGATTTTGCACCAATTTAAGAGTTATTGTTGAAACCCCTTACTGTGCCTCATTTACCTCATTTATTTTAAATATGCCAATTGTAAAGTTAATGGAAAGTTAATTCTATCTATCATATTTACTTTTCCTTAGATTTTTAATTTTTTATCCGAGCTGTCGTTTTCATAATCTGTTGATAAAAGATAAAACTATTCAACAAAGAGGAAAAGTGTAAATAAATATTTAAATATCATTCAAAGTTATACAGAACGATTATTACTTTTATGTATACTGGATAGTGCAATATATGGGGGGAGCTCATCTAAAATTCTTTTTATAAAAAAAAAATGACATTCATTTTTATTTATAAAGTGTTATAACACAACTAACAATGAAAGTATAATACTATAAAGAAAGCAATACAATACAAGGAAATGTAAAGGAGAATAAAAACCATCGTATCTAAACTTTCATAGTAAATTACATCATTGAAATAAGGTATATAAAATACTGGTATAAAAAAGGCATAAAATGTAAACTCAGTTTGTTATATCAAAGCCTTTTAAGGCTAACTATGCAATATGGGTTTTGCTCTTTGTAGAATGCTATATACTGTGGATTCATTATTTTTCGTAGGAAACCAATTTTCGTGGGTAAATGGGAACCACGAATTTCAATGTTCAACGAAGTACAAATTTGTTATAGGCTTTTATGCAGACTTGACATAACCACGAAATCAAGTATACACGAAAATACAATTTTTCCTCAATCCACGAAAATCGATACCCACGAAAATAAATGAATCCACAGTAATGACTAAAGTTGTTTACATCCTCATCCTTTGTCTCTGGTGGATATAGTTGTCTGATTGACATTCATTCGTCATCTATTTTATATCAATATATAATCTATTCTATATAGTAGATTAAGTCATGTACCATGAATGTCCAATCTCAAAAATCTGCTCATTGAAATAAGGAATAAAAAGTACTGTTAAGCTCATCAGGTTTAAAGAGGTGAAATGAGTATCTGACATCTCTTGGTACTTATTGTGGATGTCCCTTGTCATTTTGTTTGTAGGACAAAAGTTTCCCATAAAACTACTGGACTAATTGGAACACATTTCAACTGTTATCACTGTCAGTAGTGATCTACTACCAAATTGTCTTTGATGGCTTTACCTACCAATTACAGCGTCGAAAATTACTGCTAATAATAAAACTTGGACAAAATGCAGGTCTTCTTATTTTCACAACAAGATATATGATCACCCATACTATTAGTCGAAGATTACATTAAAAAAAAAACAATTATATAATAAAAAATTTATTTGAGTACTGTTGATTGCTTATATTGAAGACAAAGTCTATTTTAGGACTAAGTTCAGTGTCCTTTGACTATAACAACTTATAGATGACTACCATTACTAAATACATGTATAGAAAAATTGAAACAAAATCCAACATTTGGCAAGCACAACAACAAATCTTAAATGGAATGTTTGTAAAAGATGGTTCTATTTTTAATATGTCTGATTCCATATCCCCAACAGCTAAGATTTTTTCAGTAAAAAAACAAAATGAAAAAAAAATCATTTGCCAAATGTATCCCAACTTAGAAAGAATGTTTTTTCTAGTCTGCCTAGCAATCAAAACATTTCTGCTTACTGTTTCAAAATGCATATACAAAGCCAGTTTTATGCAATTACTAATAACAATGTAATAAATGAAGTAAAATTGCATCTAATAATGGCCCTCTGAAACTAAAATAATTGTAAAGAATGATCAACTTTTGAAGCTGCATGCATTTATTAATTCTCCACAATTAAGAAAAATGAAAATTAGAAAAATGTTTTTTTTTTTTTTAATTTGTATTATTCCTAAAGATGCAGGCTCTTTTACAGTATCACTCTGAATAAAATAATAAGTTTATAATATGTGTAATGGGAGATAATTCTTGTTATATTTACAGAAGAAGCTTTAAAGAACGCCAAAGTGGTTTTTGTTGTAGGTAAGTCAGGGTTATTTCCCTTTTAAGATCAAGAATAATTTTAAGCAAATTGCTATACACAATTTTGTTAATCTGTTAATTCAGAAATTAATGTTTGCATTTAGTAATGAGAACTACTGATAACTGAGGAAATGAATAGACACTGACAGTTAATGTGGATACTAATAAGCTATTTTTATGGATTAATGGATTAATTTTTGCTTGCTTCACTTCAGTGGAAAATCTTTTTCTATGGAATACCCAATATTAAAACTGAGTTTCATAGTGAATGATCCTTAGGTTTCATGCATGGAATACAATAACAAATGTCTAACAGGCACATGGAATGAAATAGGTTGGAGCTGCAATATGATGATATAACCAGACATGTAGTCTGTATTGCCTCTAAATCTGGTTTAACATTTACATAGAAGGTATTCACTCTTGGCAGTATTTTTTTTTATAGTTATAAGAACAATAAGAAGTTGTGGTATGATAAAAAATATTGTTCTTGGTCAGAGTCATGGGATGTTTCCCTAAATCTATTCACTGTTCTGTTTAAGTATTACATTTCACGCTTCATTACCGACTTACAGGTGCAATAACTATGATTAAAAATACCTACCATATAGAAAATGTATCTATATCCTTTTACAGATCACCAAAAGCAGGAGAGAAATTTGAGAGTAAATGGAAATTGATTAAAAACTTAGTTTACATGTGAGGGGAGATCTTTCTTTTTGTTTATATGTGAGGGGAGATCTATCTTTTTGTTTATATGTGAGGGGAGATCTATCTTTTTGTTTATATGTGAGGGGAGATCTTTCTTTTTGTTTATATGTGAGGGGAGATCTATCTTTTTGTTTATATGTGAGGGGAGATCTATCTTTTTGTACTCATTTAAGGCTTTATAATAATTCATGTAGAATTAATAAGATGTTGATGCACATCACAATTGGACAGTGATTTGTGTGCATCATAAAATTGCTATCTATGATGTTATATATATATATATATATATAGATACTTGATTTTGATTCATTGTATTTGAATTGTCTCCCCTTGACTTTGGTTATTATTTACTTTGTAATTCTGTCGAACATGTCCTGCCTGACCCTTATATGTTTAGATCTCTAGTGGCCTCTCCTGGTGCCTTTCATGTTCGATGTCATAGTATTGACAGAGATGCATGTGGTAAGAGGAGAAGGCCAATGCCATCATTAACTTTTTCCACGTATTCATGTAATTTATTCCTGAGTGATAAAAAATGAGAATGATCTAGTAGATAATTACCATATATATGCATAAAATTAGCGTACCTAACATTTTAGCTTTAGATTGCTATTGAAAAATTTAATATTAATACTTATATTATTTACTATGTATATATCTATGTATCTCAATGCTTGGAGTTTTTTTTTCAAATAAAATAAAAAATTACAATTTATGATAACCAATGAGACAACTCTACACCACAGACCAAATAAGGTAGAAGGTTAGCAACTAAAGGTCATTTATGGCCTTCAACAATGAGAAAAACCCATACTGCATAGCAAGCTATTAAAGGCCCTGAAATGACAAATGTAAAAGAATTCAAACAAGAAAACTTAAATGGCCTGATTTATGTATAATATACAATTAACGAAAAATAAATATGATATACACCAACAACTGACAACCACTAAGTTACAGGCTCCTGACTTCAGAAAGACACATACAGAATGTGGAGTGGTTAAAGATGTTTGCTGCCAGGTTAGGGGGAGGCTTGGCATGCCTTCAAACTAGTTTAACCCCGCCACATTCTGTATGTGTCTGTCCCTAGTCAGGAGCCTTTAATTCAGTGATTGTCGTTTGTTGCTGTATATCATATTTGTTTTTCGTTCATTATTTTGTACATATTAAATCATGCTGTTAGTTTTCTCGTTTGAATTGTTTTACATTTGCCATTTTGGGCCATTTATAGCTGACTATGTGGTATGAGTTTTACTCATTGTTGAAGGCCGTACAGTGACCTATAGTTGTTAATTTCTGTGTAATCTTGTGGAGAGTTGTCTCATTGGCAATCATACCACATCTTCTTATTTTTATATGTACAACTGCTTTGAAATCTGTCTCACTTAATTATGCTGTCAATTATGTTTTTCTTTTATAAAGGTGGTCCTGGCAGTGGCAAGGGTACTCAGTGTGAGAGAATTGTTCAGAAATATGGCTATACTCATCTGTCAACTGGTAACCTCCTCAGGGCAGAGGTTGCATCAGGGTCAGAACAAGGGAAGAAACTTACAGAAATAATGGAGAAAGGAGAACTTGTACCCTTGGTAAGATTTTATATCTCAGGTATAGAAATCATATTACATTCATGAAAATCATCATATCAACTACAGGTTATTCATTAGGAGGCAGTACACAGTAATTTTACCCTCCTATGCTACTGACAAGTACCACCTTAATTAAGGATTTTTTAGATAAAGGTATTCATTGAATATATTGGAAAGTAACAATTACAAATGGGTAAAGTACATGAACAATAATGAAACCCCTGCAACTACACTGTACAAAACTTTCAAACAGAAAATCAGGATTTTAGTTTGGGGAGAGAGTATATAAAAAAAGAAGATGTGGTATGATTGCCAATGAGACAACTTTCCACAAGAGACCAAATGACACAGATAACAACTATAAGTCACAGTATTACCTTCAACAATGAGCAAACCCCATGCCGCATAGTCAGCTATAAAAGGCCCCAACATGACAAATGTAAAACAATTCAAACGAGAACACTAACAGCCTAATTAATGTACAAATAATGAACGAAAAACAAATATGTTACACAGCAACAAACGACAACCACTGAATTACAGGCTCCTGACTTGGTACAGGCACATACAGAATGTTATGATCCCTAAATACAAGCAAAGAATTTTTTTTTGTTAATCCCTTTTTCAATTCATTTGGGTTTATGCACTATACATATTTTCCACATGCCCAATATAATCATAATTTGATTTTCAGTTCTAAAACAATTAGAAATAAAGGGTTTTGAAAAATACTTTTCATGTCAATTATCTAAAGAATTTGACTGTAATGTGTCGTTTTGCAACCCTTATAGTTGTTTATTTTTAAAGCTAATTTTTACCAGAAAATAATAAAGACAACTATTGTAATGTCATTAAAATTGATCAGGGTTAAATAAATAATTTCAGATATGAAAAATTTCTACAAATAATCATTCATATATTATATACTACCAGTACTCAAAAAAGAGTTTAGCAACACAACTTCAGACTGATTTATCTTTCAAATTACTTTCTGTTTTATTAATCATCAATCATTTGTGTGTTCAAAAGTACTACAGCCATATTGGTCAAATTTCAGACAGCTACACTGTTGACAAACTTTGACGGAAGTGGTCAAAGTTGAAAGTAACAATTTTAACAATTTTTTGTACATGGTCTAATTAAAACTGAATACAACGCACAGAGTTGACGAAGTGAATCTGATGGCTGAAAATTACATATGCATAGAAACTAACATTTCTTTCACGAAAAAAGTTTTAAAATATTGGAAGAAACACTTTTTTTACCCTCCAAATTTTTTTTAGTTTTCCTATCTAATCAATTTAACATCCTTTAAAAACAGAATGATATTAATTTCAGATCATATTGAGGATTTCCTACATAGATATAAGCCCTCAAAGTTTGATCCCCATTAATCTCATGGAAGTATTACAAAACTTTCTTTGGGTAGTGTACTTTTAAATCATTGAGATAAAATCACTTGTTAGTATTTATTTTGAAAAATAAAAAAGAGAAATTCCTGGTGTTAGCTATGTAGATACTTTATATTTTGGGAAATCACTTGCTGTATGGAGTTGAAGTATTTCAATATCTGACCACAAAAAGATTAAAATTGAAGCAACAATTAACTTTTGTAAAGAAAAAAATAACCAAGTAAAATTAGATTTAAAAAAATAATTTTTCAGTAGTTTTTTAAAAATTATAGAAATGTTGGGAGTAACTACATTTTAAAACTTTTGCTTGTTTTTTTTTAAGGAAACAGTCCTTATGTTATTGAAGGATAATATGATTGCCAGAGCTGCCACCAGTCGAGGATTTCTCATTGATGGATATCCAAGGCAAATGGAACAGGGAGTCAGATTTGAAGATGAGGTACTACATTTGTATTTGATAAACAAATTATAAAAAACAAGAAGAGTGTAAAAAAAATTGTATATACTGGTACTAAGTAGATTTTATGCAGAAATTTTATTAAATTGTACTTTTTCAACAAATAACAGTTTATAATCATGAAGTACATTTGATACTTTTAATTATGAGGTACACATAATACTTTTAATTATGTAGTCTGATTATAAATTACGGAATATAATGTTAATGGTATATAAGTATCAAAAATCTGCTCTTACTGTTTGTGGAAATCAGGCATCCTAAAAATAAAATGTTTATTTTTTAATCAACACATACAATGTATATCGTCTGTTTTTTGTAAATTTTAACTTTACTTCAGTATAGACTTGTTTTTGATACCTGGTAACTTTGACATGTGATGACATTTTTTTTTCTGAACAATTGTTGAGAATAATATAGTTCTGTTCCAACTCAGGCCTTCTTTACAGTATTGTGCGGTGTATAAATATAATATTGGCCACTGGAAATTAAAATGTTTATACAAGTGTTTACAATTAATCTTTCCTTTCTTTTCTTTTTCAGGTTAAAGAAAGTGACTTTCTATTGTACTTAAGTGTTTCCGATGAGACTATGACCTCTAGACTTCTGGGAAGAGCACAAACAAGTGGACGGGTTGATGATAATGAAGAAACAATTAAAAAAAGACTGAAGACTTTCCGTGATAATAATAATGCTGTTATTGAATACTACAGCAAGGAAAATAAAGTGGAAAGGGTACTTTTCTTTTGGAAATCATACAGACCTCCAAATTCCAAAGAAAATTTTCACATTTTCTGTATTCCTTTTGTGATTTCACAAATAATCTTTCTTTTAGTGTTAAAGGTTTTCTTGTCAGTTTTAAGACTTTTAAGATATATAGAATTGAAAATTTTCCCACAAGGGACATAACTGACACAATTTGAAATGTAAAGGGAGAAATCTCTATCATTACACCAGTTGTCGGGATAATCAGAAATTTATGATACTGAAAGTGGGAAATTTTGATGCATTTGTAATCCTAGTGGCCAGTTACCTTGTCCACACTGTAGCTTCTTACCATTTTTTTCCTGCAGATTTCGGCAGAAAATTCAGTAGATGAAGTTTTTGCTGAGGTTGTGAGAGCATTTGAGGATAGAGGGATTACAGCAGGTAAGAGTTATATCCAATTTTTACATTGATATGAATTGTTATAGTCTTAGAGTATAATGTAACATTTTGTCATGCCATTTCTTTTCTGTATTTGGAGTTGTAAATCCCTTGTATCAAATGGTTACGAATACCCAGCATGTAAAATGGAATCAAAAGCATATACCATCCTCTAAACAAAATTACACTATATATATATAAGCAATCATCTAGATTTCTGTAGTTTGTAACCTTTACAAAAATTATAGTCTGTGTAGTTTTTTACACTGCAGTCACTATCATAATTTTATATTTGTTGTAAAATGTACAATCAATCAAGCATTATAGTGATATCTAGGATTACAAGATGAAATCAAAGATGGCCTTCAAGGTTTTATCAAGTGGAAATATTTGCAAAAATTTTGAAGACTAATACTATGAAAAATATTTCATTTGATTTTTTTTTATACACAAATCTTAATGAAATAAAAATACACTTAAAACCTTATTTTAATGCATATAAAATCTGATTTGCTGATTGGACAAAATATACTATTTATCTTTGAACGTTGTTATTTCTTCCACAAAACCTTTTTTGCAATATGGTATAAAGCATATTTCTCTAATTCTTTGTCAATTTATCCGTTTCTGCACCCATTGTATAAAAAAAATTTAATCAACGTGTGGTTCGTTTGATCTCAGTTCTTCATTGGTTAAAATCCGATTATGACGTCGAATTTTCTTGCTTTCCTCTGAATTTCCTATTGTGAAGGCATGAAAAAAGGCGACCATGCCTGATGACGTCACATAGAAAGAACACATCTTTTTGCAGATCATTCAAAAAGAAGGAATAAGTTTGACTGCATATTGTTTGAAAATCATTAGAGAAACAGATTCCACCACCAAATCTCGTGTAATACGATATTTATCCACTCTCGACAGTTAAATTTGAAAATTTAACTGTCTCGAGTGGATAAATATCGTATCACACTCGATGCAGTGATAGAATCTATATATAATAAACATTTACTAATATTTATCAACTTTTCCACACTGACTTCTTTCTTTTATATCTGTATCATTTAGTCAAGTTGTACATTTTTTTATTGGATTATTTCCCTTTGGTAATATAACTTGACCATGGCAATGCAGTATGTAAAAAGGTAATGAAATAGCTGCACTGTATGCCAGACAGAATGTAAATTATTTGAGTTTTATACATTTTATATAAAAAAAAAATATGGTAACCACAAAAAGTCTGGTTTGAATTTCCCTGGTATAGCATGTATTTAAGTTTCTGTGGTCCCCAAAAGAGAACAAAAATGTTGTCAATACTCTGGGATTAAAGAAATTGATCAACTCACCATTAAATAGGAATTTCAAACTCCTACATTTGTTTTAAATCTACTAAAAAGATATGGAGAACAATAATGTGAAAAAATCCAATGTAAAAAAAAAATTTTTTAAATTGTATTAAGGAATTTCAAAAAATTGATTTTTCATATAACAAAAAATGAACGAAAAGGCAGGAGTTGCAAAATTCATAAATTGAACTAAAAAAGGGGAAAACAAAAATTAAACACATGTACTTCTGTCCAGTAATTGTGTCATAAACAAGTATCAGGAATTTGCTACGGTAGAAACATATTTGACAAAAAGCCAAGAAAACTAATATTACAGCTAGTTGCGTATTTCCTATATCGTGTTGTAAATTGTTTGTAACATGATGTAATATTATGATGATAGTAACACATTTATACTAATCAAGATCTTAATAATTATTGCCGAGGGGTGAACAATCAGATAATAGGGCATCAGGTCATAACTCGAGGGGGTGGTCTTGGCTTACCTGTTTTGTTAAGTATTTTTCACATATTGTAAACAGTACAATGGCACATTGCTGTGTCAGCATAAATATGCAGAAACTTATACAAACCAGGAAATCTAGCAAACCCTTGCGAACACTTTCCTGTCTAAACCAGAGGTGAGTGGAAGCACTTTCCTGTCTAAACCAGAGATGAGTGGAAGCACTTTCCTGTCTAAAACAGAAATTACTGGTAGCACTTTCCTGTCTAAAACCAGAAATTACTTCAATTCTTATTTATGGGTGGCTAGAATTTCCAGTATTTCTCATACAACAGAAACTATTCATGTTTTATGTAATAGTCCTGCAATTTGTCAATGGTGTTTAAATGTTATTAAGAACTATTCCCTTAATGTCAAGAATAGAAATCAATATGTCTCAGTGAAACAACTTTTTTCTCTGATTTTTGCCTGAGCAATTTTGGTTTTTAACAACTAGATTTTTTTAAATCGCTCTCACTAAAGTTTAACAGAAGAATTGACTACATGTACAAAAAACGTTTAACACATGAATAGTTTCTGATTTAATAGTGTTGTTATAATCTCTCTCCTTTCATTCTTCAAGTATATTTAAAAGTGTCAGAAAGGTCTAAGAAAAGGATCAAGAGTGTGTTTCACACAGCTGGTTTTAGCTTCATGTACCCAAAAAATAGTTAACACATGAATAGGTCGAAAAGTCTTGATAGGATCAAAATAGAATTTATAGGACTAATACAGAGCAACCACTAAGATTTTATTGAATCTTCGGCAGGTTTTATTAAAGAAAATGTTCTCACATCATGTTGAAATGTATTTTTTTTTCGTAAATTGTTGTGTTATAAATTAGGTGTTTCTTTTCTCGTTTGAATTGTTTCACATTTTTTATGTCTGGGCCTTTTATAGCAGACATAGAAAGGGTATTTCTCATTGTTAAGGCTGTACTTTGGCCTATAATTGCTTATATCCATTTCATTTGAACTCTGGTGGATAGTTGTCTCATTGGCAATAATACCACATTCTCCTCCATTTTTATATAAAAATAAGGAGATGTGGTATGATTGCCAATGAGACAACTATCCACCGAAGTTCAAATAAAGTGGATGTATATGTATTTTTTCTGTACTAATGTGGATTCTTATAACATATGAGGTTTTTATTTTTTTATTTTTTGGGGGATAAAGATAAACCATGAATTTCAGAATTGAACCAAGAATAATATTTTAGACTGTATGCAGAATTTTTCAAAACCCTAGATCAAGTATCCACAGAAATAGCATTTTTCCTCAATCCACTTATAACCCGTAAAAATAAATGAATCTACAGTAATTTAGTACCTGAGTGTTTCTTATATAAAAATAAGAAGATGTAGTATGATTGCCAATGAGACAACTCTCCACCTTATGTATTAGTTCAAGTTGTCCACATGGCACATACTATTCAAATATATATAAAATTCTTTTAAACACCAATAACCGAAAGAAATGAAATTGGGTACAAATACATATTCTATTTATTCTGTTTTTTTCCTTTTTTTGTTACTTTATATTATTAGTTGTACAAAATGTATAACTTTTAAACTTTCAGTGCAAGATAAACGTCCAAAAGTAAAGTTTGTTTTGAGTGAGTTTATGAGTTCTTGATTTTAGATGATCTCTGCTTATCAAATAGATATAGTAAAACCATATTTAAATATCTGATCAAAATTTTTTAATGTCAAGTATTTATGTTTAAAAAGATATGGTTCCTATATTAAGCATATTTTTAGTGCTGTTTGATTCAATAATATCATTGGCTATCAAATAGTATGAAAGTAGTGAATAAAAATAGCAGTGAAGATTTTAAGTAATATTTAGGATAATGTCAAGTGGGAATACAGAAATATCTGTAAAAAAAGGGCAATTTAGTGTAAAAAAAGGTTTTCTACAAATCATTAAGTTGGATATTTCTGGTTTTTCAGTAAAATATTTAATTGGGAACATATCATGTCCTTGCCATTAACTGTCCTCGAATTTTTGTTTCGAAATTTTTAATGAAAAACTTTTAACTGACCATATGACCATTGGCAGATCCAATTAGCTGTCACTTTGAGGATGTATCAGATATTATATTTATAGGTTTTACTATGCTTGGATGTTACAGTGTGACTCGAAATTTAACCAGAAGTCAATATATTACTAGGAAATGGTAGTAGTGGACTTCTGATCAAACCAACACTATGACACACTTTGTGAAGTTATACATTCACTCTCACGCTAATACTCAAATGTAGTTTTTGCAATCATCAATGTCTTTTTATTTGATCTGACCTAGCTGTTACAAACATTCGGGAAATCTATTCATATTCGATATGGACATAGTTTTCTGTATCTAAAGTTGTTCAGTAATCAATTTATTAATTCATTCATGCATTTCATCCATCTTCTTATATCTATTTATATATTCTTTTTTTTTCATTCATTAAGTCCTTTATTATTATTATTATTTGGGGGGGGGGGGGGGGGGGGTTATGGTTTTTGTCAAGCCTGCGACTTTTGTCGCAGAAAGCTCTACATAGGGATAGTGATTAGGCAGCTGCGGCGGCGGTTACGGTGGCGGCGGCGGCGGCGTTAGCTAACTTCTTAAAAGCTTTATATTTTAGAAGCTAGAAGACCTGGATGCTTCATACTTTGTATATAGATGCCTTATGTTACGAAGTTTCCGTCTGTCATATGTCCAATGTCCTTGACCTCATTTTCATGGTTCAGTGACTACTTGAAAAAAAAGTCAACATTTTTTGTAATGTTAATTTCTTTCTTATTATGAGTAATAGGATAACTATATTTAGTATGTGCGTACCTTGCAAGGTCCTCATGCCCATCAGACAATTTTCATTTGACCTCGACCTCATTTCATGGATCAGTGAACCAGGTTAAGTTTTCATGGTCAAGTCCATATATCAGATACTATAAGCAGTAGGTCTACTATATTTGGTATATGGAATGATTGTAAGGTGTACATGTCCAACTGGTAGGTGTCATGTGACCTTGACCTCATTTTCATGGTTCAGTGGTCAAAGTTAAGTTTTTGAGTTTTGGTCTTTTTTTCTAATACTATATGCAATAGGTCAACTATAAATGGTGTATGGAATGATTGTAAGGTGTACATGTCTAGCTGGCAGGTGTCATCTGACCTTGACCTCATTTTCATGGTTCAGTGGTCAAAGTTAAGTTTTTGAGTTTTGGTCTTTTTTTCTAATACTATAAGTAATAGTTCAACTATATTTGTTGTATGGAAATATTTTATGATCTGTATGTCAGTCATGCAGGTTTTATTTGACCTTGACCTCATTTTCAAGGTTCATTGCTCAGTGTTAAGTTTTTGTGTTTTGGTCTGTTTTTCTTATACTGTATGCAATAGGTCTACTATATTTGGTGTATGGAATGATTGTAAGGTGTACATGTCTAGCTGGCAGGTGTCATCTGACCTTGACCTCATTTTCATGGATCAGTGGTCAAAGTTAAGTTTTTGAGTTTTGGTCTTTTTTTCTAATACTATATGCAATAGTTCAACTATATTTGGTGTATGGAAATATTTTATGATCTATATGTCAGTCAGGCAGGTTTTATTTGACCTTGACCTCATTTTCTAGGTTCATTGCTCAGTGTTAAGTTTTTGTGTTTTGGTCTGTTTTTCTTAAACTATAAACAATAGGTCAACTATCTTTGTTGTATGGAAGAATTGTTAGCTGTACATGCCTGCCTAGCATGGTTCATCTGACCTTGACCTCATTTTCATGGTTCATTGGTCAATGTTTAGTTTACTTGGTTAATGTTAAGTTTATGTGACAGTTGTAATAAAGCTTTATATTTAGGACTATCAACATAATATAAATGATTAGTAAAGAAGGCGAGACATTTCAGCGTGTGCACTCTTGTTTTTTTATGATTCACCCCATTTTTCATTGTATTTAAATAAATTTCAGGAATTAATTTACTGCAAATTTTTGCAGATTTTGTAAATTATTATAAATTCAGAAATTACTTGTGCATATATTATTACAATTTTTTGAAGAATGGATAGTGAGATAAATTATTGCAATTTTATGTTAAACTGTATACATATATCATGTATATGTATCAGATATCAGAATGTGAGTTCTTATTATTGCGAAACTCACCCAGTCACATTATTCGCATTAATAAAAACCTCTCGATAATTTCTGAATTTATATAGTAAATTGATTTCATAATCACTAGCAAGTTATTTACTTATCTGGTTTCTATGCTAATTTATTGTGTACTGAAAAGGGTATAAAACACACTTGAATTAATGTATCAAAATGTTGCTTTACATGTAAAAATTTCTGAGTTGCTTTAATTCTATGCGTATCATGTTTGCATTCATCACACAATTTCCTAAAGCAGGTACTTTACATCACATGATCCTTTGTAATGTATTAAACAATTTCTTGTAACCAAAACAACTGACAAAATATTTTCTGGTTTGTAGTAAAAGCACTTTGTTTTTGTTGTTGCATTATTACCATAGCAACAGAAAATATAAGACAAGTTATTATACTGAAAAAATGCATGACTCACAAGTTTCATAGACAGGATTGTTCTATTAGTAGCTAAAGGGTGGACAGGTTGTACTATTACTATAGGTTAGTGTTACAGGGTGAAGGTCATTGACTCCACCTTCCCTCTCAGTTAGAATAGATTGATCATCTTCAGGACAACCATGGGGTGTATTGGTGTGTATTGATCTGTTAAGGTCTAATTATTGATCTCTAATCAGCTGATTTATTGGAATTTATTGATTCTATTTTTATCTTCTTTAGCTTCCAAGCAGAAAGAGAAGTCCACAGGTGGATTAAAGGATGCTAAAGTTCTATTCGTTATTGGTAAGTGTATATTCAGAGAGATTAAAATATCATGAATATTTCTTGGATTATTGACAAAATAATTGCATTTCAAAGAACTTGAAGTATATGTAATAAAGAGGAAAAAACGTAAAACTCTTCAAAGCAATTTGTGAAATTATTGATAAAAATGCAGAATTAAACAATTACAGGAGGGTAAAAATTCTTCACATTTATTAAGTGTCAGTTTGAGCAATTATCATTGATTATCTATACAAATAACTTTAAACTGGTTTTAGTTAAAGTAATAAAATATTTATACATTATAGCAGTAATTTACTGTCGTCCTACGATACCTGTAAACAACATGGTGTGTGCTTACAATATATATCCTATAAATAGTCTGTATAAATGTTCATCATCTAAAAATAACTTGATAAATACTATACCTGTAGCTGATGTAAGTGACATTTGTCAACTTCTCAGATTTATATATGTGGAAGCCTCCCTTTTTTCCTAGAAGTCTTTAAACTCTGTCTTATGCTATATCTCTCAATAGAGAAATAGAATTTCCTGCCTCTGGGAAGACTCATTTCCATCCACTTTCAAGTTATATTATTTGATGATAATTTAAAGAGTTGTTTGTGTTTAAAATTTGCAAATTTTTTATAAAAATCTTAGTATATTTTCACAATATTAAAAGTGTGACATGTTGCTTTACTCAATTAATTAACATTCATGACATTAGATGATAGGATAACCATTCAATCATGCTTTTGATATGTAACATGATGTATGTGTCTTTAATATGCATATTATATTTGCCACTAGATGTTAAGCAGCCATCAATTAACCTATCAATCAAATGTTGTTTTTAATTTTTTCAACATGAGTAATATTACTTCATACCCAAAGTACATTAGGTAAGATAAACGTCATTGAGAACATTGCAAAATAGTTTCTTAACTTTTCTCCCATAAAACAATTATATCCAAAAAGGAAATATCCTATTTTTATGCATTACATTGAACCCATGTAAGAAAGTGGTCATAAAATTGAACTCTCAAAGCACCATTAACATTAAATGATGGTAAAAAAGGGGAGATGTCCAACAACTGTTCAAAATAGGTATTTGGAGTCATATCTGGAAAAATAAGGGAAAAGGACTCACGAGGGCGATAAGAACAAACAACCCAAATTAGACAAACAAACAAACAATTGGGTCTGTGTTTTTGTTAAATGTCTTTCTGCTTTGTATCGATCAGATGAGTAACAGAATAAGCCATTTTCAACTAATTTTTACAGTTTGTTCTTATGTTGTACTGTTACACTACTGTCCCAGGTAAGGGGGAGGGTTTGACGTGCCAGCAAACATGTTTAACCCCGACACATTCCATATGTGCCTGTCCCATATAAGGAGCCTGTAACTCAGTGGTTGTCCTTTGTTGCTGTGTATCATATTTGTTTTTCGTTCATTGTTTTGTGCATAAATCAGGCTGTAAGTTTTCTCATTTGAATTGTTATACATTTGTCATTTCTGGGCCTTTTATAGCTGAGTATACGTTGTGGGTCTTTCTCATTGTTGAAGGCAGTACGGTGACCTATAGTTGTTAAATTCTATGTCATTTGGTCTCTGGTGGAGAGTTGCCTCATTGGCAATCATACCTATTACCACATCTTCTTATTTCTATATCAAACAAACATTGAAATACTGTATAAAAAACAAAGATTGAGCAACAAATACAAATATTGAAAGCAGGTCCTATTTTTAACATCTAATATTTGAAAAGTCTTACTACAACAAGACACCATAATAATTAGTCTTCTTCACCATGTGCATGTTCACTGGTAAGTCCCTTATGAAAGTCCACTTTGAAGATTTGACTTTACTTAATTTATCATTTTTGTCAAGACTGCGACTTTTGTTGCAGAAAGCTCGACATAGGGATAGTGATCCGGCAGCGGCAGCCGTGGCGGCGGCATTAACTAACTTCTTAAAGGCTTAATATTTCAGAAGGTAGGAGACCTGGATGCTTTATACTTTGTATATAGATGCCTTATGATATGAAGTTTCCATCTGTCATATGTCCATTGTCCTTGACCTCATTTTCATGGTTCAGCATGTTCAGTGACTACTTGAAAAAAAAGTAAAGATTTTTTGTAATGTTAATTTCTCTCTTAATATGAGTAATAGGATAACTATATTTGGTATGTGTGTACCTTGCAAGGTCCTCATGTCTGTCTGACAGTTTTTACTTAACCTCGACCTCATTTCATGGATCAGTGAACAAGGTTAAGTTTTTTGTTGTCAAGTCCATATCTCAGATACTACAAGCAATAGGTCTACTATATTTGGTGTATGTAATGATTGTAAGGTGTACATGTCCAACTGGCAGGTGTCATCTGACCTTGACCTCATTTTCATGGTTCAGTGGCAAAAGTTAAGTTTTGGTGTTTTGGACTGTTTTTCTAATACTGTACATTGCTGTATGCAATAGGTCAACTATATTTGGTGTATGTAAATATTTTACGATGTACATGTCAGTCTGGCAAGTTTTGTTTGACCTTGACCTCATTTTTAGTCCCCTACTGACGAAGTCGAAGGGGACTTTAGGTTTGCACTCTGTCCATCTGTCTGTCCATCTGTCTGTCTGTCTGTCCGTCTGTCTGTCTGTCTGTCTGTCTGTCTGTCCATCTGTCAGTGCGGCAAATCAGTTTTCCAGACTTTTTTTCTTAGTGCTTGAAGATATTGATTTGATATTTGGTTTATTGATTTATCATGACAAGTTACAGGTCAAGTTAAATTTTCATGATTTTAGCTTTTCTCTTTGTTCAGTTAAACCCCTTTCCCTAGAATTAAATTTATGATGAAATACTTATTAATTAGTAGATTTCTGTTCAAAGGGAAATAACTCATTTTTATTTAAAAGATTTTTAAAAGACAAAATGACATTTTGGCTTTTTTTTCCTTTTCTTTGGTAAATTGTTTGAAGAATTTAGTGGTAGGTTTGTTTGTCTTTCTTGAAGATATTGATTTGATAATTAGTATATAGTTTTATCATGACAAGTTACAGATCAAGTTGGAATTTTGTTCTAGTCTGATAATTTTGTGCAGAGTTATGGTCTTTGGACATAGAAAATTCGCTTAAATAATCAGTTTTCAACAGTTTTTTCATCTTGAAGATTTTGACTAGATATTTTTATGTAGTTTACACCATGACAAGTTATAGATCAAGTTAGAATTTTGTTCCATTACAATGAATTTGTAACCGGTAGGGGACTATGTATTGCCATGCAATACTCACAGAATGCTTGTTATGGTTCATTTATAGGTCAACTATATTTGATGCATGGAATGATTTTAAGGTGTACATGTCTGTCTGGCAGGGTTCATCTGACCTTGACCTCATTGTCATGGTTTATTGGTCAATGTAAAATTTCCATGGTTTGGTCTCTTTCTTTTATACTGTGAGCAATAGGTCATCTATATTAGCTGTATGGAATGATTGTAACAAAGGTGTACATGTATTTCCAGCTTGATTTATCTGACCTTGAACTCATTTTCTTGGATCATAAATGTTAATGTGGTACTTGTAGTAAAACTTTATAACTAGGACTATCAACATAAAATCAATGGTCAGTATAGTAGGCGAGGCATTTCAGCGTGTGCACTCTTGTTTTCTTTTCCCAAAAGACCAAAATGTTTTATAAGACAATAAAACCGCATTTTTGATTTTGAATAAAAATGTACATAAGTCTGAAAATTTTACAATACATATGTGGAGATCATATGCAAACTGCAGTTAGATTCACCTGACTATAATTGAGCTCAATTTCAGTTACAATTATTCTAGTATGACACTAATTAATGGGTTGTTCAAAGTCTTACATCTCAATTTAGCAGATGATAATCCCTTTTTACCATTTTTATCCTTTAATCAGAATACCTGATGTATAACTTTTTACAGGTAAAATTTTTCTCACATCATCACATCTTATATACCAGGTACATATACATACATTTTAACATTTGCCTGTTAAAATAACTACTGTCATCTTCATTCAATATTGTGTTCAATACAACAATCAAAATAAAGTCATCTCCATTTGGCTTTGGATGGGAAGTACAGAAAAGAGAACAATGGGGAAAAAAAGTGAAGAACAGAGAATTATGTGGTGTTAAAATATAAAGAACAGAGAGTAATAGGCAAAACATTGAGAAAATAGGCCAAAAAAAAAAAGAACAGAGAATTATGTGAATGCTGAAATATAAAGAACAGAGAATTATGTGGTGTTAAAATATAAAGAACAGAGAGTAATAGGCAAAACATTGAGAAAATAGGCCAAAAAAATAAAGAACAGAGAATTATAGGCAGACCAATAAAGAATGAAGGACATGAAAATAGCTAAAATGATTAATGGATACAGAACCAAGATCCCCCTATCCAGACTCTCCTTTATTTTAGATCCCCTATCCAGACTCTCCTTTATTTTAGATCCCCCCAAAAAGTAATGGTTACAAAAGTAAATAATGTAAAGAATTATGTTATATAATAACAGTCATGACAGTAAAGATGAAAGATCAGCAGGAATGCCAAATGCTAAGATGTAAATTGAGTGATAAATAGATAAACGAATTGCTGGTTTTCTTGTCTTGACATTTATGACTTAACTTTTTTGTTGTTATTGTTTATGTTATACATTTCAGTAACTTTTAGCAGTCACAGTTTGTCAAATCCAACTGCATTTGATACAATGCCAGATTCCTAGCAACACTCGTCAGAATTTAATGGATAAAACAATTTTAACAAAAAAACTGATCAATCTATAATAATTAAACTCTCATCTGTTTTAATGTCAGATGTCATTGTTTTATGTCAGCTGCCAGTCAGATAATTTTGCTCATTGCTAACAAAATTTGAAGCAGGTTTTTGTTTTCTATTTATAAGTCAGATCAAGAAAAACTTGCAAAGTTTTTTTTGTAATTTTTCACATTGATGAAATTATTGTTTAAGTTTATAAAGCAGTTAATAATATCAATACTGATCATCCATCAACACATTAGCAAAAAAAAAAACCCAAGACAACAGCACAACAACACACAAAAAAAAACTGCCATCTTGAAGTCAACATTTTGTCTTCCACAAAAGACTAGTACTGTAATGGTTAGTAGCAATACCCTTTTTCTGATGTATAGAAATAGCAGGAAGATACATTTACCTTGTAGAATTCATGCAGAGTAATTTGACATGCCACTGTGATAATTCTCCAATCAAACTGTGATCATCCTGTAATCGAACCACAATCATCCTGCAATCAAACTGTGATCATCCTGTAATTGAACTGCAATCAAACTGCAATCAAACCGTGATCATCCTGTCATCAAACTGCAATCAATCTGTGATCATCCTGCAATCAAACTGTGATCATTCTGCATGCCACAATCATGTTTTGCATGCTGCATGCTTGCAATTTTACAGTAATTGGAATTGTGCAGAATGGTTGTGCAAGAAAACTACAATTTCATTAGATTGTGTTTTTATTGCAGGATGATTGAGGTTTGATCATTGAGGTTTGATTGCAGGATGATTGTAGTTTTATTGCAGGATGATTGAGTTTGATTGCAGGATGATTGAGGTTTGATTGCAGGATGATTGAGGTTTGATCATTGAGGTTTGATTGCAGGATGATTGTAGTTTTATTGCAGGATGATTGAGTTTGATTGCAGGATGATTGAGGTTTGATTGCAGGATGATTGAGGTTTGATTGCAGGATAATTGTAGTTTTATTGCAGGATTATTGAGGTTTGATTGCAGGATGATTGAGGTTTGATTGCAGGATGATTGTAGTTTTATTGTAGGATGATTGTAGTTTGATTGCAGGATGATTGTAGTTAGATTGATTGCAGGATGATTGAGGTTTGATTGCAGGATGATTGAGGTTTGATTACAGGATAATCACAGTTTGATTGCAGGATGATTGAGGTTTGATTGCAGGATAATCACAGTTTGATTGCAGGATGATTATAGTTTGATTGCAGGATGATTGTAGTTTGATTGCAGTTTGATTGCAGGATGATTGTAGTACGATTGCAGTTTGATTGCAGGATGATTGTAGTTTGATTACAGGATGATTGTAGTTTGATTGCAGGATGATTGTAGTTTGATTGCAGGATAATTGTAGTTTGATTGCAGTTTGATTGCAGGATGATTGCAGTTTGATTGCAGGATGATTGTAGTTTGATTGCAGGATGATTGTAGTTTGATTGTAGTTTGATTGCAGGATGATTGTAGTTTGATTGCAGTTTGATTGCAGGATGATTGTAGTTTGATTGCAGGATGATTGTAGTTTGATTGCAGTTTGATTGCAGGATGATTGTAGTTTGATTGCAGGATGATTGTAGTTTTATTGCAGGATGATTGAGTTTGATTGCAGGATGATTGAGGTTTGATTGCAGGATAATCACAGTTTGATTGCAGGATAATCACAGTTTGATTGCAGGATGATTGTAGTTTGATTGCAGTTTGATTGCAGGATGATTGTAGTTTGATTGCAGGATGATTGTAGTTTGACTGCCTGATGATTGAGGTTTGATTGCAGGATGATTGTAGTTTTATTGCAGGATGATTGAGTTTGATTGCAGGATGATTGAGGTTTGATTGCAGGATAATCACAGTTTGATTGCAGGATGATTGCCATGCTGCAATGCTTGCAATTAATGCTTGCTATTTTGGTTTGGGGTGTAAACCATATGATAAGTTCTTAATCTCTGGAGTCTAATGCAAGTTTTGAATACATTTAACAGAGACTACCAAATATCTGCCATTAACACCAAATATCTGCCATTAACACTAAATATCTGCCATTAACACCAAACATCTGCCATTAACACCAAGATCCTTAAAAAAAAAACCCAAAAAACATTTAGAAATAAACATAGACAAGCTCTGACAAGGTTTTTTTGCCCCCATAGGACCATCAAGTTAATCTGTGGTGGTGTAAAACAAGTTTTATTGTGACCCAACTCTTTTTATGTGTGTCCAAAAGGAATTAAGTAATATATACAATTATTTTTTTTATTATTTAGGTGGCCCAGGAAGTGGTAAAGGTACACAATGTGCAAAGATTGTTGAGAAGTATGGCTTCTGTCACTTGTCTTCAGGAGATTTACTCCGAGCTGAGGTCCAGTCAGAATCTGACCGAGGAAAGCGTCTTAATGAAATAATGGAGAAAGGTGAACTGGTTCCCTTAGTAAGTAATTTTTAGATGGTAACAGCAGTTAAAAGTAAAATGTACTGATCATTCTAATTGTGATAATTTTGATTTTATTTATGTACAACAGCAAGTATTGACGCAAATCAATTTTTGCATTACTTCCTTTCTATTACTGTGGATTCATCCTTATTCGTGGAATAACAATTTTTGTGGATTTCTCTAGTACAGGTGAACCATTGAATTTATATGTTCAAAGAATTATAGGCTTGTATGCAGACTTTGGCAAAACTTCAAAATCAAATATCCACAAAAAAGCAAGTTGTCCTCAATCAACAAAAATTGGTATCCACGAAATTAAATTAATCCACGGTACTATATGTGCATGAAAATTTTACTGCAGCTCACCACAATCTCATGTTTCCGAAAAACAGAGAATAAATTCTAAAGATTTTCTTCAGTGAAACAACTTTTCCTCTAAAAATTACCAGGAAATGTTTGGTTTTGATAATTTCACCACTTCAGGAGTGGTGTCCTTAAAATTCACGGATCCTGACGGTTTTTTTCCTTTAGAGGGCTGTACCATTCATTGATCTTAGGGGCTTTTAAAAAAGCTGATATTTTAATTTTCAAGGCACATGGAGTAATTAGAAATTTCCACTGGCATATACTGAAAAGACAAATGTGTGGGTGTTTGAAATCAAAATAAAGAACCTTTAAATACCCAAGTAGATTTTTTCTAAGTCATGACAAACCTAAGATAAAATCTTGCAACAGATATTGTCATTTACACATTACAATTGCTGGTCTGTGGTTGACTGTGATTTTTATAATTTTCTGAGTCACACCTTTTTGATAACGCTGAAACAGGTAAACATCCTTCAAAACATAGGGTGTACACATAGAATGCATATACATGTACCAACAATATATTTTGTGTACACTATCCATGGCTTTTAAATTATCAATCCAAAGCTTTTAAGATATAGTACATGTAGTAAGGATAATGAAAATAAATCAAAAATTTTATAATTTGATATTTTTTATTAAAGCCTTAAAGGTAAACATCAAAAAATGAAATTTAATTGAAGGTGAAGTGCCAAATATTAAAAACACATATATGATATATTTATGATGAAATACTGTATGTCTCTAGTAACTTCAGAAACTGATTTTTCAATGAAAAGCAAACATTAAGTGGGGATAAGCATTTGAGTTAATAAATTTTATATGAAGCTCAAAAGTGACATTAACATTCAAAGGATGTGTATGATGACAAAACTTACATTGTACCGATGCAATTTGTTTCGTTGAACACAGCAAAATTCACACCCTGATAAAAAAGATTGTGATTATAAAATGTATGCCATCAAAATGATTATATATATATATGACTTGGAGATATTTGAAGGTACAGAATAAATTTGTACCTGCATTGCCAGAGGGGAGGGCTGAGGTCTATTAATTGCTCTACTTGGTCAGTCTTTTTGTTATAAAATGTGTAGTGCAGATATAATTATACCGTTAAAATTGACTGTATAAATTTATTTCATCACATAATATTTTGCATGTAACAATTGTAGACATTTTGAATATTTGTGCAAATAAGTGTAAAACTATGTATTTGTGCAAGAAATGATAATATAATATCACAATTTAAAAAAAAAATAATGTAAAAAATGTAAACATTTTGCAGATTTGATGAGGTGCTCTTGACACATAAACAAATTATGAAAAACAGGTTACATGAAGAAGAGAAAAGTAAATTAAATTTGAATAACTATGTCTTATCCAGTAAATTAAATTTGAATAACTATGTCTTATCCAAGTTATGTATGTTCTTTTTTCATTCATTTTTTTTATTTCTATCTTTTAACTCCATTCAAACTTTGCTACAAATGCAACAAGATTGTAAAAATATTTTGTTTATTGTGTCATTGGGTTGCTGTCTCACTGTCTCACTGTCTTATACCCCTTATCTCCTTTTGTTCAAAGTAAACAAATTTTATGAAAACTGCCAATTTGAAAAATAGTATGATGTATGGGAGATAACTCTAGTTTGTAAAGGAAGTAACCTAAACATATTGGTTCTTCAAAAGACTTATAAGGGTAAATTCAGTAATAAAAATCTCCCATTGACTTTAATGCAAACCTATCTCTTGAATTAAATTTATACCTGGTTTACCTTTAGAAATCACAAGCTTTCATATACATGTATTATTCATTAAAGTACAAATGTAGCCCCAACTTTTGCATTAATCAAAGCATAGGGTCATGCAGCATTTTTGGGCCATTTACATGGCCTTGTTTACAAACACTGTAGATTTGCAGTAAATTCCTACACTGACTAATACTTTTTAACCCTAAAGTAAAATATTTAAGTGCTTCAACATATATTTTTTTTATTTAATCTAAAAAATATTCATTACAAACATCTACCAATCAGTGGAGTGTTATCAAGAAAGCTCTCCCCAAAAAATGTTGTCCTCTATGGGTTATATTTTTTTACTGAATTTATCCCTGTATAATTTTGTTTTGCAGAATGATGACTTTAAAAAAAAGAGAAAAGGAAAGATCATTATATATAAATAGTAGGGGAGATAACTCTATATGTTTTTATTGTAGGATGAGGTATTAGCTTTACTCAGAGATGCTATGGAGAAAAAAGTCTCAGAAGGAGTTAAATGTTTCCTCATTGATGGATATCCTAGAGAATTGGAACAAGGAGAAAGATTTGAAAAAGAGGTATTGTAGTGTTATCCTATTAATTTGTGCATTATTTTGGTTTATGGATGTTTTGATAAAAGAGAGGCGAAAGATACCAAAGGGACATTCAAACTCAAAAGTAGAAAAATAAACTGACAACGCTATGGCTAAAAAAGAAAAAAGACCATCAGACAAACAACAGTACACAAAACACAACATAGAAAACAACATAGAAAACTAGACTGAGTGACACAAACACCACCAAAAACTGGGGGTAATCTCAGGTGCTCCAGAGGGGTAAGCAGATCCTGCTCAAATATGGAGATAACGTAGTATTTGTTTATCAGAAGAGATGCTAAAATGAATATTCATGAAAATGTTCTTTATTGGTAAAGAATTGGTAAATAATATGATAAAGAAGATGTGGTATGATTGCCAATGAGACAACTCTCCACAATTGACCAAACGACACAGAAATTAACAGCTATAGGTCACCGTACGACCTTCAACAATGAGCAAAGCCCATACCGCATAGTCAGCTATAAAAGGCCCCAAAATCACAAATAAATTCAGGTTTTGAAGTATAGTGATGCCTGTCTAAATAAACCCCTTCAGAACTGAATATTTTGTTGGTGATTGTCAAGTGTACAATTTACACACTGTACTATATATCAGAAGGTAGAAGACTTGGTTACTAAATACATTGTATACAGATGCCTTATGTTCTGAAGTTTCATATTTCACATGTCTGTTGCCCTTGACCTCATTTCCATTGTTCAGCCACTGCTTAAAAAATAGTTTTTTTTACATTGTCAATTTCTCATTAGTTATGAGTAATAGTACACCCATATTTGGTATATTTGATCCTTGCAAGTCTACATTTCCATCAGATAGGGTTCTGCTGACCTTGACATCATTTCAAACCAGTGATCAAGGTTAAGTTTTTGTGATCAAATCCATATTCATATCTAAGATACTACAATCGATAGGTTAACATTATTTGGTACATGGATTGCTTGTAATATGTCCATGTTTGTCTAGTAGGAATTTTGACCTTGATCCCGTTTTCATGGTTTATTTCTAAATGTTAGGTTTTCTAAATAAGGGCTTAGGCCCAATTTTAAGATACTTTAAGCAATAAGTCTATTCGGTGTATGGAATGATTGCAAAGTGTTCTTGTCAACCTGGCAGAGTTCATCTGACCTTGACCATATTTTCATGGTGCATTGGTCAATGTTTAGTTTTCATGGCTAGATCTGTTACTCAGATACTAAGCAGTGGCTGAAATGTGTTTGGTGTATGTAATGATTGTAAGGAGTATGTGCCCACCTGGCAGAGTTATCTGAACTTGACCATATTTTCATTTTGTATTGGACAATGTTTATTTTTCATGGTCAGATCTGTTTATTGGATACTATGAGCATTGGGTGAAATATATATATTTGGTGTATGGAATTATTGTACTTTGTACATGTTGTCTGGCAGGGTTCATTTGACATTGACCTCATTTTTTTATGATTTATTTGTCAATGTTAAGTTTTTGTGGTTTGGTTTGTTTCTCAGATATTTGAAGCAATATATATATATGTTAACCATATTTGGTGCATGCAATGGTTATAAAGTTTACATGTCCATCAGCTGGCAAGGTTCATTTGACCTTGACCTCATTTACATGGATCATATATTGATCATGTTAAGTTTATATGATATAAATTCAATCATGATCAGTAAAGTAGGCAAGACATATCAGCATATGCACCCTTATAAAAATAAGGAGATGTGGTATGATTGCCAATGAGACTACTTTCCACCAGAGTTCAAATGACATGAATGTAGGCAATTATAGTTCACAGTAGGGCCTTAAACCAGTGTTCTCCCAAGATATTTCATATACCATTCTGGTAAACAGGGAAATTTGAAAAACCATCTTGTTTCTAAATATTATAGCATCACATCCATAACACAACCTATACAAAACCACTTCAGATAGCATCACATTAAAAAAATATAGCATCACATTACCATGATGCTAAAAGGCCCTGGGGAGAACACTGCCTTAAACAATGAGATAAATTCATACTGTATAGTCAGCTAATGCTATAAAAGGCCCAGAAATGACAATTGTGGAAAAATTCAAACAAGAAAATTAACAGACTGATTAATAACAATACAATTACAAAAAACAAATATGACAGACATGAACCAAATAAAACCACTGACTTACAGGCTCCTGACTTGGGACAGGCATTTGAAGAATGTGGCAGGTTTTTTAGTTTTTTTTTTTAAATGACATAAAATTATGAATAAATTAGATAAGATTATGATAATTGATCAGTAATTGGAATTATTAATAATAATTGACTTTACTTTTCATTCATGTCACTAATGGACCTTATTTGCATTTGTAGGTGGCAGGGTGTACTGGTGTACTGTATTTTGAAGTATCAGACGACACTATGACACAAAGATTGTTGGAACGTGGAAAGACAAGTGGCCGTGTAGATGATAATGAAGAGACAATTAAAAAACGTTTAGAAACCTTCCATAACCAAACAAAACCATTGATTGATCATTATAAAGATAAAAGTAACATAGTAAGTTTGTCCCTTGTTTCTTATTTTTGAAATTCAACTTCAGTTAGAGCTATTTCCCTTTTTGTGTACTGTAAATTCAGAAATTATTTTGATGTTTTTACTGATGGGAAAATTGCAACAGGATATGTTTCACAGTAATAAATATTGCTTGCAACATTTCCTGAAATAGCAGTTTGTAAATTCGCATTTTTTCCATTACTCAACATTGCAATAATAAATGCAATCAAACAATATTGCATTTTCTTTACTTTTAAATAAAGGTTGTATCAAAGCAATATTATTAGTCCCCTACCGATGAAGTCGAGGGGACTTTAGGTTTGCACTCCGTCCGTCTGTCTGTCTGTCTGTCGGTCTGTCTGTCTGTCCATCTGTCAGTCCGGCAAATCAGTTTTCCAGACTTTTTTTCTTTGTGCTAGAAGATATTAATTTGATATTTGGTTTATTGATTTATCATGACAAGTTACAGGTCGAGTTCAATTTTCACGATTTTAGCTTTTCTCTTTGTTCAGTTAAAGCCCTTTCCCTAGAATTAAATTTTTAATGAAATACTTATTAATTAGTAGATTTCTGTTCAAAGGGAAATAACTAATTTTTTAAAAGACTTTTAAATGACAAAATGACATTTTGGATTTTTTCCTTTTCTTTGGTAAATTGTTTGAAGAATTTAGTGGTAGGTTTGTTTGTCATTCTTGAAGATATTGATTTGATAATTAGTATAGTTTTATCATGACAAGTTACAGATCAAGTTGGAATTTTGTTCCAGTCTGATAATTTTGTGCAGAGTTATGGTCTTTGGACATAGAAAATTCACTTAAATAATCAGTTTTCAACAGTTTTTTTCGTCATGCTTGAAGATTTAATTTGATTTGATATTTTTATGTAGTTTACATCATGACAAGTTATAGATCAAGTTAGAATTACGTTCCATTATAATGAATTTGTAACTGGTAGGGGACTATGTATTGCCATGCAATACTCACAGAATGCTTGTTATTTTTGATACAGTTAGACAGTTGTCTGTCAAGTACTGTAAACTTACTCCATTTTGGTGAATACTTTATTTCACATATAGCCATTACCAGTTAACCTGACAGGAATTACTTTTGTGTAATTTGAACTATCTTGCTGTAGTTATATAAGGGAAGATGCAAGTTTGATATATTCACAAATATTTATTTTGACTCATGAATATGATGAAAATAAATGGTATTTGAAAATTTGTTGGTTTAGTTTCTACCAAGCTATCAATTATTTTGGTCTTGAGCATCACTGAAGAGACATTAATTGTCAAAATGCGCATCTTTTGCCAAAAAATTGACAACGTTTATAATATTATAACTATCATCTTGGGAGATTTTTTTTTATTGCCTAATATTATGTGCCCACCAATGTATAGTTGTCAGAAACTAAACACTATTATTATAGACCATTAGTTTTTCTTTTAATGTTTTTTATCCACCTAAAAATGGATTAAAGGGAGAGAACTTAAGCAAAAGATTTACTTGGTTGGGCAATCTGATTGAAATACAGATTATGTATCCACGCTTCACTTACCAGAATCTGACAACACTCTGTTCTACTTTCTGTTTTAAAGACCTTTTACGATCATCTGGTTTTGTCGTAATCGATATACACCATAAAAAATTTGAAGGCAGAAATTTCATTGGCTGATGTAATAATTACCAGATCGATCTATACAAAATTTGGGCACATTATCTGTATTTCAACTAGATTGTTGGTTGGTAATACCTTTATACTGCAACTAGTTGTTTATTTTTCCTAAATATAGTAACAAAGCTATATTTTGTGCAATGTCAATTTCATCATGGATCACTTTTTCCACAATCAGGGGTTCATTTAGGGATTAAAATAAGTTTGAAATTTACCCTACAATTTAAATAGTTATCAATGTATTAATTTAAGTTGCAGTATAAAAACAATATTAGGTCAATGTCAGAAAAATATAAACTTTTTTGTATTCGACACAGAAATGGGGAGGGGCTTGGTCAAAACCTTGCCTTTCTCCAGTTTCTCAGCCTCATACAAAAAAGTTTATATTTTTCTGACATTGACCTAATATTGTATATTTACAGCCTTAATGATAAAATTCTCAGGAATGAAAAATATAATTTGAAATATCTTTATAATATGATATGTAAACAATTTTTTTTTTCAGATTAAAGCGGAAGGAACAGTAGATGAAATTTTCACAGAAGTTCAGAAATACATGGACTCTAAAAAATGGTAGACATATTAAATTCTGCTCATTAATGTTAAAGTTCATTTCATAAGAAGGGAAGTAGATAAAGAAAAAGTTATATGTTATAACTGGCATTACAAATGTAAAACTAAGACTGGCTAGATACATTATACAGTGAAACCAAAGGAAATGAAGATTTTGCTCAGAATAGACAGGTTATCAGTTTAAGCTGGTTCAATAACTATATGATATTAATTGGTTTTCCTGGTTGTCAATTCCATATAGACAGGTTCAAATTTAAAGGGAATTCAGTTCAGTCAGGTTACCAGTACACTACATTGCATTAATGTAACAGTTGAAATCAACTGTTGGTATTCGGTATGTTTTTACAGTGTAAAATGTTCATGTGTTCACTAAATTCATTGCTTCTGGTTAACTGTAATGGAATTTTATGTAGAGCTATTTAAATATTGTTATGCATTGAAATTAACATTGTTTAAATGAAGCAACTCAATTAAGGTCAATTACAACAAGATTTATCTAATTTTTGTCTGAAGAAATTATGGTGTTAAACCTGATATTTTCAAGATGCAATATAATTGACCAGTTGCAAGAGATTTGATGAACAGATTTATAACTCATTCTGTAAAACTTGCTTATAGATACTGGTAGTATTCAAATTGACAACTGTAAAATGATTTTAAGAAAATTACAGAAAAATCCATTTTTTAAAAGCACTATATAAGGAGAGATTTTTGTGCTAGATAATTTTTGCTGACTTGCGTAGGATTCAAAACTAGCACTGTTTTTGGTAGTATGTTTTTTTTACATTTTTTTTGTAAATTGACATTGCCATGCTTATTTTCTTATAGTTTGATTTTTCTACAAAATAATTACAAAAAATGCTGCTGCGAATACGAAAAACCCTGCATTAATTCAATCCATAAAAATAAAATGTTGATTGCATCAATTTATGCTGTAATAATTGTATGCAAAAATGCTTCAGACAGACTTGGCATTGGAAATCATAGAGGATTGTACAGTAGGAGTTTTTTGCATGGGTTGATTTAAATTAGAACTAAATCTAATCTTGTGCAAAATGAAAAACCAATCATCATACAAGACCTTCTTTAGGGTAACTATATCACATGTCTGTATACATGTATTTAAAAAAAAAGAAAAAAAAAGAAAAAAAGGATTTATCTTGAAACGTTCTTTTTCATTATTTGTTGAAGACTTTTAATTAACATTTAACAAGAAAATAGACCCTTCATATGCATAAATATTTTTCAAAATTAAAAAAAAAGGACAACTTTGATCATAAATGATATGTAGAAGAACTATTTTCTTGAGTTGGAAAATCAAGCATTGACTCTATGCGGCATAAAAAAAGTTGTATTGAGTACAACTGTTATACAAATATTACAAGGGTATAGATTCTCCCAAACCATTACTCTCTTATTAAATTAATTTCCATTTTCATGTATTTTTTTAATTATTTAATTTTTCCATTGCTTTGTTATTTATATATTTAGTATTTATGTCATAATTTTCTGTGATATTAAAGGGCTTTTTGTTATTTACTGTTAGATGTTAGTTTTTACTATTTATTGAAATTTTGACGCTGTCCAGTTAAGCTTGTATTTATTTGTACATAATATTGTGTTACTGAGGGGGTATAATTTCATTGATTTTTGCTTCAGAAGTAATTTCATTGGAATAAATAAATGTAACCTTAAGCCGTACGGTGACCTATAGTTGTTAATTTCTGTGTCATTTGGTCTCTTGTGGAGAGTTGTCTCATTGGCAATCATACCACATGTTCTTTTTTATATTAAGTGTTGTCTGACGTGGCAAGATGGTATTTATGTTTATTCTAATTGATATTCTCAACTTATTCAGCAGTCATTTTGTTAGTCTAATGGAATGGACTCCTTTCTTTTTTTAACAAAATAGTCAGATTGAATAAAAAAAAAAATTCTTTTTACTGTGGCATATGAATTTGCCATTCAAGAAAATGCTAGAAACAGTTAAAAATACGCAAATTATATCATTGACTATGAAAAATAGATTAATCAAGGGAGAATGTTTGCTTAGTGTCAAGTGGCAAATATTCCATTACTTATATTATCATTCATATAGCTTTCTTTAAAACTAAAAGAGATGCTTCTTTGTGAGTTCAAAATAAGTTTGTATGGCATTATCACTGAAAAAGTTAGTAGTTTTGTAATAAACTGAACGTTAATCAAATCATATGGAATATTCTTATAACCATAATCACTTTTCAAGTAAATTGGCCAAATATTAACCCCTTTTAACACCTAATTATTTAGCTTAAAGATAGAATTTGCTTGTTTTATTAGTTGGTATCGTATATGATAATATTATCAAAAATTATGATAAAAGAAACAGATAACAAAAAAGCTAAAAAAAAAAATTGTTATCAATTGCTTTGAACTTTTTTTTAAAGATATGTTATGCTACATACAATTAATAACTTATAAATGAATTTTAAGAGAATCTTTAATTTTGCCAGGATAGTTAACTTTTTCACATTTTTTTTTCTTCAATTCAGCGGGTGAAATTTAGCTATCAATCAACTTTTACACTATTTTTTTTTATCTCAAGATATTCATGTAGACAAAACCTAGCAGTTGGTATTTTTTGCCTCCTGTATTAACATTGTTTTTTTTTACAATGTTCAGTAATAGAGTTGAGATATTAAGAATAAACTTTCAATTGGTTTACTAGGCATTAAAGTTGACGTATAAGTGATTTTGAAATCTTTCTGTTGTTATTTTCTATAATTTGAATCCCAAAGTATGTATTTTTGTTTTGTTTATTTATTTTATGTTAATCTCTGTATTTGATATTGATCATTAGATCTGTATTTTTGTTTATCTTTATTTTTTTGTATTCTTGCTTTCAATATACACTGCCTAATAAAAGTATCTTACAGTTATATATATAATATTACATGAAACAGTCTCATTTGTTCTTGCTACAGCTGAACTATTCAAGTGTGGGCTTCATACATAAAAGTAAGTTAGCTTGTTTGATAGGTGAACCATGAATTATTTAAATACTTTTGTTAATATAGTAACAAACGGGTCAAACATTTTGTTGCCTGTCCAATTATTTGATTGGTTAAAAATAACTACTATTTCTCTCAATGGATAGCTAACAAGTGTATTTATGGTTCACCAAGCACACAGGCAATCTTTATTTTGACTAAACTCCATTGTTCTTTTTACAAACTGAATTATAGATGCTGCAAAATGAACAAAATTATTTTAATGTTTGAAGATATGATAATTTGATATGTATTGATATGGGTACACGGTTTTCAAATATGGTACATCATGTATTTAGTTCTGTTACAACATATTTACAGCTTCTGTGTTTTGAAAATAAGAGGCATCTTGATTTCCGTTCATTCATATTATTAAATGAATGAGTAATGAAGAGGAGTTGATTTTAACAGCATCTGAAGTAAAATGTATATATATATTAGTGGCATTGGTGGCCAAGTGGTTTAAGAAGATTGTCTACAATATCACAAGCCTGTCAACAGAGAGGTGGAGTGCCAACCCCAGATATAGCAGGTCCAATCTAAATTGACTAGGATTGGCAGTTGTCCTGCTGAAGGGTATTGGTTTTCTCCAGACACTCCTACTTCCTCCACCAATAAAAACCGGTCGCCATGATATAACTATGAGTACTAAAAAGTAGCCTTAAACACCAACAATCAATATATATTTATTTTTGAAGAGAATCTTTATTATCTCTCTTTTTCTCGAAAGATATTACTATTCATCAATAGAATTTTATGTTAAAACCAAATAGATTTTTTCTGTGAGATCAATGCACCGGAACATGTACAAAGAGAGAAAAAAAAATTTAGTAAATGGCACAGTAGGAAAATGATCTGGGGAAAATTTCATTCCAGAAAATATTTTTAGATAACATAAGCTTTCTTGTTGCTGCCTAATGTAATGTATCAAAACCCCAAGAAGATAACCCTTTAATTTAAGTGTAAAATTGAAATTGAAGATTACATTTAGTTAAAAGCCAACTTTTACGGTAACCTAGTTAAGATGTTAGAGCATCATATCTAAACATGGCTTATTTGAAATTGATGATCAATTTATCTACTTCATGTTTTTTGTAATGCCATTTTTTATTTTACAGCAAATGAAAACATTACTTGTTCATGAATAAAACAATATTTTATTGATTCTGCTGGTCTTATCTTATTATTTCTGCTCAGATGAGGACTTGATTAAAAGTATTATATTTCCTGAGAAATTTTGGGCACTTTTATAGTCATTGTTTTATTTATCTGTCTGTCTATCTGAAGTTAATAGTTTTGTGATAGACATGAAAAGTGATGAGAGTAACAAGGCAAAGCAAGGACAAAAATATCCAAAAGATATCTAAGAGGTCAACATACAGTTTTTATTTCATTTCCATTTCAATTGATATTAAATAGTGTGTCTTTTTAAGCTGTAATGTTACACTACTGTTTCAGGTTAGGGTGAATGTTAAAACGTTTAAACCCGCTGCATTTGTATGCACCTGTCCTAAGTCAGGAGCCTGGTGTTCAGTGGTTGTCTTTGTTGGTGTGGTTCATAAGTGTTTCTCGTTTCTCGTTCTTTATATAGATTAGACCGTTGGTTTTCCTGCTTGAATTGTTTTACACTAGTCATTTTGGGGCCCTTTATAGCTTGCTGTTCGGTGTGAGCCAAGGCTCCGTGTTGAATGCCGTACTTTGACTTATAATTGTTTACTTTTTATACATTGCGACTTGGATGGAGAGTTGTCTCATTGGCACTCATACCACATCTTCTTATTTATATTTAACAATAAAAGGGTGTCTATGCAATATGTTAAGCTCAAGCTCTGTGTCAAAAAAGGTTTTCAAGAAATTTAGAATCAAACAAGTTATTTTAAAAAAGCTTATTATTTTTTGGAAGGCAGACTATTCATATCAATATAGTTATGTTAAATTTATGAGTGAAAGACCGTATAGACACATCAATAAACTCTATAAAATGACAATGAGTACTTTTTATTCCAAAAATATACTAACAAATATCCAGGCTCAGATTTATTAAGCCTGTGTAGGAAGTCAATTGCAAAAATTACGAAACTGCAGTCTTGTTTACACATTTAATCTTTTTGGTTTGCAGGACGCTTACCAATAAAATAAAACCTAGGCACCATATCATTCATCTTTTGTATACGTTTGCTCAGGCGCTTGGGGAATGGATCCCACTTTTTCCAAGGATTTATATAGTATATCTAGGACTAATATGTTAGTGTAATAGCCCCCGAGTATACGTGGAAAATAAGAATAGAGGGGCATCATATTAAACTACTGTTATTGTAATATCGTATGATCTCGTATGTGTAAGAACAAGAAAGCATTAAATAAGAGAAAATAAATTAAAATATTAAAAAATATTTTCTGCTAAAACAAAAAATATGAAACAATTTATAGAAAAATGGGGCGCATTCCCCATGCGCCTATTTGAAGTCAAAGAAAAACCTATTATAGTTCGATGTCAAAAACCAAAAATAGTCTTCAATACACTACATAAACGAAAGACTGGGCAATACGAACTCCATTAAAAACCGGGAATCTATATACCCCATATGCAGGCACTGCTGGAAATTTGATACATTACAATTGAAGTTTAAAAATTAGGAACTTTTGTCGTTTAGTTCTCAACAAAATCTCATTGTCAATTTCTAGATGCAAGTCAAGATATTTTAAATCTGGTATACTTTATTTCAACTTCGATTAGAAAGAAGCATGCAATATATATACTTATTGCAGTACAAATTAGAATTCAGCATGATCCAGAATCCTCCTATTACAAATCGGAATTCCAATATCTACTAGTAGAAATCGAAATTCTGATTTATAATAACATAAAATAAATCCATTAAAAGTTAGGATATCCAGATTTGTACTAGGAGGATTCTGGATTTTACTAGATGATTACTAAAAAGGACATAACAAAACAATATTTTGATTTACTTCATAATGAAATAAATTTATAATAAAACTTGTCTGAATTAAAAAAGAAAGGATTGATTGATTAATTAATTGATTGGTGTTGAACGCTACTTTCAGCACCATTGGTTATTTCGTGGCGGTCAGTTTTTATTAGTGGAGGAACCTTGAGGTTAAAAAGCAAACCTAAAACAAGAATGTGTCCATAGTACACGGATGCCCCACTCGCACTATCATTTTCTATGTTCAGTGGACCGTGAAATTGGGTTCAAAACTCTAATTTAGCATTAAAATTAGAAAGATCATATCATAGGAAACATGTGTACTAGGTTTCAAGTTGATTGGACTTCAACTTCATCAGAAACTACCTTGACAAAAAACTTTAACCTGAAGCGGGACAGACGAACGGACACACAGACCGATAAACATAATGCCCCTAGGTGGGGCATACAAATTTCAGAAAATATAGTGTGAGATAGACAAAAAAAATAAATAGAAATTTTAAGCAGATTTAAACGTAAGTCACATTATGCCCTATATAAACCAATTATTGGTTAAAACTAAAATGATTCTTTATTGATGTATTAGTCAGTGACGTACAGTTTTTAAACGATTTTTTTAATCGAAAATGTTTGTGTCAAAAAAAAATAAATGGCAACAAACTTTATATATATTGCATTTTTAGTTTACAAATGTGTGTGGTTTTTTTTTTTGCGTGTGCTTGGTTTTTTCCTGGCTGATGTGACTTGACGTAAATCAAACATACTGAAAATCATTTTTAATCTCTAGATTTTTTCACTGAATATTATGTCGTTGAATAAATGACAAGCTGTGTTACCGTTCTAAACTACGCATTTCATGTTAAAGGGCAACAGAAGAATTAAAATAACTGGGTTGCGTTCAATATCGTAGCAGCTACGTAGTGCTACGTAGATTTATGACTATTGAACGAGTAGCTAGCCTAGCTGCTATCAATATCTATGTAGCAGCTATGATAGCTACACGTTCAATAGTCATAAATCTACGTAGCACTACGTAGCCGATACGTTATTGAACGCAACCCAGCACTATATGAAGGCGTGGTTAGCTTTTGAATTAATTATCTACATATGAAATTCAGACGAAACTTGTCACTGCGTTAAGTTCAAAGTTGTATTATTCTATCTATTCTAGGCTTTGGCGCCTGTTTGGTGCTAGTTTTGTGATGGTCTCACTCTGTGGTGAATAAAACGAAGTCAAATATATATTTCAGAAAATCATTGAAATATCAATACATTGGGACCTTTAAAGGAACAATCAAACGGCTGCAATGTTTTACACAAATCATTATATTAGTACGTTAGTGCAATGTATGAATGACAAGCAGTTTGATCGTTTTCTCATTTGTTGTTTTCACTTATTAAACGCTGCATGAACATTTTTTGTTGATCAGATTATGCAATAAGCAAAAGCAAATTTGAGGATAATATTTTTTCTCTCACTCAAAATTATATCAAGATACAGAATTGTTTCGCCTCACAAGGAAGTCTACTTGCGAGGTCATGAGACGAGTTTATAAATGCACGTGTTATATTAAAATTTTGTCTTTGGCTATTCATATTTTTTTTCTATTTTTCACACTTTTGAAGCTTTAATTTTTAATTATTTCTCACATTTCCTTTTTTATGTTTGAGTATATTTGAATATTTATGAAAAAAAGAATAAAATGTAAAAACACGTAATTTGGTTATAATATAGGTGATTAGGTAAGTTAGCTTTAAAACAGAATGTCATGTAAGAACAAAATTTAGAATTTGGATTATTTACTACGATGTTTGCACATTTTCAATTGGCTTATAAAAAAAGAAGATGTGGCATGATTGCCAATGAGACAACTCTCCACTAGAGACCAAAATGACGTACAAATTAAAAACTATACAAGGTCACCGTACGTAGGAGTTCAGTTAGTTTTCTACGATGTTTGCACATTTTCAGTTGACTTAAGAGCTTAATTTAACATTGAATCCAGTTAGCTTTATTGCAATTCACACATGTACATAACGTTACTGAGGTTCCTTATTCAAATGACATTTTTAATACCGTGATATACCGTACTAAATACTTGTTTATGCTTAACGCTTGAGTAATTTGCATTATTTTTATTTGGAAAGAATATAATCCTATTACGTTATTCTGATGGGCTTTGATACAAGGAAATAATAATGGTATGTCATTTAATGTTTTGTGTATCATTTGCATAGCAACAATGGAGTAATATGTTAAACCAATTTTAAACTGAAGTTTCTTCCGACAAGTTAATATTTGGTTCATTAATTTGAAATATTGCTTTTGATGCGGTATATTGTTCCTAGAATTATGTAAATTTGTTTCAATTGATAAAATAGAATTTTGTGCAAATATTGTTTAAATAGTTAAATTTTGCATAATATTATTATATAGTTATGTTCCTTGATTTAGCTTATCTGGAATTATAAAATTACAAGTCTACAGAGTCCTTTGGCAGCAGACATGGCGAAAAGTCAGAACGACACATGCACATGTATAATCTTTATGGTTATAAGGACGTGCACCAACTAATGAAATAAGACATAGGTACCGTTCATTAATTCTCAAACTGATTAAATTGAAAATTCATTGCAAATGAATATGTTTCAGAAGAGAAGTGAAAGATATAGTTTCTTTTCTGTTGAAATTTTATAAATAGAAAAAAAAGGAAACCCCAAAAATATCAAATAGAAAAAAATTCTGATTCGTCTTAGTTATTGAAAAAAAGTTTTGATTTTTAATTAATTTTGAAAAAATAATGTTTGCCACGAGAAAAAAAAAACATGCCACCATAAAAGATTATTGGTCTGTGCCTTAGCATACAACAATTGAACTTTATTCATAACAATTTATTAAATTAATGAAAATATTTAGAAAATATTTTAAAAAAATGGGGTTTAGTTCAAATATTTTCAGACTGCAAGCATTTCACGTCCAAAGTTGACTGGAGGGTTAAATTAGCTAAAAATAAATACAGGAATGTACAACGTAATCTTATGTCATTTCTATGTTTGCTTCGATGAGGTTTCATGAATACTTTTCATGATCGCAGTATATAATAAGTTCAAAGTACAAATATAGATGGAAATACATGGAAATGAACAACTTCATGAGACGTATTTCCTGCGATTAGCCATTGTCACGATATGAAGGCGTGGCTTACTTTTGAAT